TTTTTTTTTTTAATTTTGGCAGCAACTTTGTTGAGATACAGATCGCAAGTTGTTCAGAAAACAATTTATAATTAATTCTGGGAATAAATATTTTAGCTCATGTCAATCATAAGTTTAATAGCACTAACTTTTTTGTCTCAGAGTTGTCCTGGATTTCATGATCTCAGTTTTCCTTCCACAGGGGTTCTTCTGCTGGGAGATGCATATAACCTAAGGCATCCTCTCACTGGTGGAGGAATGACAGTCGCTTTAAAAGATGTGAAATTATGGAGAAAACTCTTAAAAGGCATTCCTGACCTCTATGACGATGCTGCTGTTTTCCAGGTAAGACTCTCGAGTTCTCCTCCCCGAAAAAGACTCAAAATACAGGGACTGGAGGAACAGGAGCCTGCTTGGAAGCCCGTGTTTCACAATGCTTCTTCGTCTTGTTCAGGTGTAATGAGCCTGACTTGCTAACTGAATCTATAGTTTATATGTTTTAGTATATGTTACACCGAGTTGGTTCAGGCCAACTCTGCTCAGGTGTGAGCTGAGCTCAGTAGCCTGTGACCCTAGCTCTGAAAATGAGTTTGGCCTGGGGACACATATCACATCTCTCCTCAAGAGACTGTAAACATTAGCTTAGCTCTTCTTCCTCTTTTAACTATGTAAAATAATAATGACACCTTTCATCTTTAGGCCAAGAAGTCATTCTATTGGTCGAGGAAAAGGACCCACTCCTTCGTGGTGAATGTACTGGCCCAAGCTCTGTATGAATTATTTTCCGCTACAGACGGTAAGTGTAGGTGTTTTTAAGTGGACAGTACTGATTTGTGCCGATTTTTATGTTTCCTTAGGTAAGGGCCTTAATTACAAAGGTTGGCAGTTAAAGTAGTTAGTCCGTAATCACAGTTCACCCAGCTCTGCCCCAATTTGATGGCCCTTTTGGTGTCTGAGCATCAGGTGTCTACCACTCCGTGTAGAGGCCGCTGGCTTTCTTTAGAAAACATCCCCGGCAGTTTCTCAGGAGTGCATCCATCCAGTGCCCCTGGTCCCTCACATGGTGAATGCTGACAGAAGGCCTTTCTGGCCGCATGTGGAAAAGCAATATGGCTTTTTCCTTCTTACGCTAGTCTGAATTCCTTGTCAAGTATGACTTAGGGTATGAATAGGCACTTCAGACTGAGGGTGAGGCTTCTTTGCTGCTACGGTACAGTGTCACTCACTGGACTAGCCATGTGCTTTGTTTTCTATAGCGTAGAGAGGTTGGCCACCCTATAGGTTCAACATTCCTAATAATGAAAATTTGAAATTCTGAGCTAGGCGTGGTGATGCCTGCTCTCCTAGCCCCTAGGAGGCTGAGGCAGGACGACTGGGACGTCAGCCTGAGCTGAGGTGCGTAAGATTGTACCTCAAGACAAACAACAATTTGATTTGCACCCCCACACATGTGTGTCACAGTGAAAATAACTAAGTAAACAGTATCTAGACGTGAGCTGCTTCAAGCCCCTTGCTTGAGCTCCCTCAGGCCCATTAGAAGAGGAGCTGGGACAGAAGCACTTCCCATCAGCCACAGCCACCCAGCCCGTCTTGTGGAAGGAAAGGCAGGTCTGCTGAGTCGGAGTGGCAGATGAGAGGGAAGAATTTAAGTTTGGGTTTGTCTAAGCTCTTAGATCCTCACACGTCAAAGCTGCCAACAGCATACCAAAGTCAGTGACAGATCAGGGGAGGAAAGAATGTTGTGAATAAAAGTTTACCATATTTCATCCTTTAAAAAAAATCTTGTAAAGAAAAATCTAGCCAGGTGGTAGTGGCCTTTAATTTCAGCACTTGGAGACTGAGGCAGGCAGCTGTCTGAGAGATCAAGGCCAGTCTGGTCAGAGGACTAACTGGTCTGGTCACAACAGCCAGGGCTACACAGCGAAACTGTTTGAAAAAACCAAACAAAGAAAAAAAGTTTATTATTAATTATGTATTGAAGGCTTTGAAATGCACTTAAAAGTTCCGTGGAGCTGGGAGAACGTGGTGCACGCCTTTAATCCCAGCACTCAGGAGGAGAGGCAGGCGGATGTCTGTGAGTTGGAGCCCAGCCTGGTCTCCAGAGCTACACAGAGAAACCCTGTCTTGAAAGAACCCCCCCCCCCAAAAAAAAAAAAAAAGTTCCGGGGATGTAAGGCAGAGACTCACTTGTTGATAATCAATGTTGTCCCTCCACTACTGGTTAGGCTCTCAGAACCTGGGAATTGTTGCTTGAATTATGTTTTTATAGTAAGCACTTACAAAGTATTTGGTGTCGTTTAATTTATAACTCATAAGACCTAAGTATTAGGAGAATTAACAGTAACAGAGTATTCATACTCACATTAACACCTATAATATTAATTTAGGAAGGCAAAAGAACTGATTGTTGAATTCCAGGACTTTTAAGAAATTGTCCTGTTTGGTACTTTTATGTCTTCATTATTTTTTTCCTGACATAATCACTAACACTCTAAGATAAATAACAATATCTATATTATATTTCAGATTCCTTGCATCAGCTCCGAAAAGCTTGCTTTCTTTATTTTAAACTTGGTGGAGAATGTGTGACGGGTCCTGTTGGGCTGCTTTCTGTGTAAGTTCTAGCAGCAGAAGGGGCGGAAACACTCTGCTTGTCAATCTCTTTCCCTTGGGCACTTAGTTCTGTGTGTCACCCTTTAGTAGTCTAAACATAGTATCCCCACGAGGCCAGGAGCTGTCTCAGTGGGTAGAGCCTTGCTGCAAAAGCTTGGCAACTTTAGTCCATCCCTAGAACCCGAGAGGAAGACAGGGCTCTATCAAGTTGTCCTCTGATGTCCACGTGTGCACTATAGCTATAGAGTGTGTGCGTCTCCATCACCACGGCATGAAGTAATGGACAAAGGGTCAGCACTGTGCTGTCTTCCAGGCCACAGACACACTGACTAGAAATGGAACAAGGTGGCTAAACCCTCCAAGTAAAATTGAAGCATGGTTTTCACCTGTGGTGTCTCCACGTCTGCTCTCCAGGAGCTACTAATCTTACGAGCTTGAAATTTAGTAGTTTTGCTAGTGCAGACATATCCTTGGGAAGTCTGAGAAGGGAAATTCTTCAAGGCACCTCTTACTGATCTATAATCAGAGTATCAGTACTGATGCCAAACCCAGATGGCAGCCAGCCATTTTGTACTTCATTTTGGATCTCAAGATTAGTGAAAGAAAACAGCTGAAAAAAAAAA